AGGCACACTTGGCTGGACACCCCCACTACTTACTAAAGAAAGCCCCCAGCTTATGATAGTTCATTATCATAACCATGTTAACACATATAGTTAAAATTCATACACACACAAATGCTAAACACTTAAAAGGGTGATATAGAGACACCTAAGTCAGCCATGAAAATGATTGCATGTAATCATTATAACATATACATATATAAAATAGTGAAGTAGATGCCCGATCTCAATAGCTGGATTCAAGAATACAAAGTCCAGAGTATAAACATACCCTAACAGCCAGAAGGTCCTTGAGATAACACATTGTCATCCTTAGGAAACATGGGAGCTGTGAGGAATATAGCAAAACATGGTATCAACTGGCACTTATCCTCTTTCTATCGTTGATGCTTCCCTCAGCTCCTGATGATTCCACTGTCTTTGATGACTCTGCCTCAACTGGATCAGATGGTGGAGAAGTACCTCACCATAAAGGACACAGCAACTGGATAGGCACACAGCACTTTCTCCCACAAGTCAGTTCACCATACTGTCCCTCAGCTACACCAAGCTCTGGTACTGTTAGACTGTTTGGGGTATATGGCACCCCAAACTGGCGTCAGTCTTCACAACTGGTAATTGGGTGATAATTGGTAGGTAATAGGTTGATTGATTGATGGTTGGTGGGGTTTGGTTGGACTGTGATTCTTCTGCCCGCTCTTCACAAAGGTTTCATCCCAAGCATAGGAAAAGTTCCCGACATTACAGATCGCCTTCTGAAAGTGAAATTTTCTGGCGTCGATGCACACATATGAACGCTTGGAAGCCGGCAAAAAGAATCGCGCAAAATTCGCACTTCAGGAGTTGGTAAAAAAGGAGTTCCTTGTATACAGGGGCAAGGAGTAAATCGGTTTATAAGAAACCTCAAATAACTCTAGTAATATTTATCCAATAGTTGCACATTTGAAATTGACGTTAAGTCAAAGCAACTAGAAGATGCAGACATTATAATTTTGTCCGATAAAGGCATATATCGATATAAGGGACTATATACCTTCCCGGACGAGTCCAAGTTTGAATGTTGTCTCGAATACAGGTAAGTCAAGTTACGTCTTTAGGACTGATGTGTAATGGCTTATCATTCCACGACAAATAATACAATCAGATATCGTGGCGGCGTCCATACCTTTCAGCAGAGAAAATCCAAGGAATTCCTCACGAATCATAGCCTTCTCACTAGACATATCTACAAACCGGACTCCCAGTGATAACTGTTCTGTTCCTAAGATATCCGCTGTTTCATCGGCTATGATCGAGAATCCAACAGTATTGTTAGCAGCTTTAACAATGTCTTCTCGCAGAGCTTGTTCAGACAAATTGATCAAATCATCCTGCGTTCGGTGCATTTCCAGCAGCTGTATCAAAATGGTTTTTTAAAATACTGTCTCCTCCCTCAATTCGATACGCATAAAGTTGTTCGACATTTCCTTTGGTGCTATCTTTCCCACGAATTGCCAAATAATTTGTTCCGCAAAATAAGGTTGTTGAAATAATAGGATACAGTTTCTTTCTGTTTTCTTCAATAGTTTGTTTTACTATCTGACAAATAATATCATTTGGATCTCTAATGGTTGACGCGAAGTGTTCAGCATCTTGTTGAGACCCAGGATGCCATGCTGAGCTGGTATGGTTTCTGGCACATTCATTAAAATCTTTGTACTTTGTACAAGGAGTAGTAATGAAGGCACCTTGAATTCCTCTTTGAACTGGTTGCGGAAATAAAACACAGAAAATGCAAAAAGCACCTTCTAACCTAGGTGAATATGATAACCATGGAGTATACAGGGTTAGCCAAGATTCCCTGAAACAACGTATTCCACTTCCTGACATGTCGCCTTCAAAATCATATGACGGTTGAGGCTTGTATGTTAGTAAACGATTCTTAAGCTTAACTCTTTGAGTCCCAAGGAACGCATCATACGTTCATAGGTTCCTACCTAGAAGCCCAATAAACGTATGATGCGCCAATTTTATTACTTTCTTGACAACATCCTGGGCCTGTGATCCACACTTTCTTTATGCTAGCACAAAGTGCGCCCCTTGCCCCCCCCCCCCCCTGCGGGCGCCCATGTATTAAAATGTTATTTTAGGGCACCGATGGTTACGTAGTAACCTGAAGTTCGGACCTCGATTGTTCATCGATGACGATGCTGACTAAAGGACACCTTTCCACGCTTTCAGGCATATAGGGCTAGACCTACATTTTATAGACTTATAGGCACTTGGTGGGTGATGTAGTCAACAGCACGCCAGCTGACTTTACTTCCCAGCACTTTACCTGGTACCTGTTTAGATCCTGGACGACTGGGAGCCAAAGTCATTAAAAAAAAAAATTTCAAATCCGGCTCTGTCAGGACCTAAACCTACGATCCTCGGGTCCGTAGACGAGTTATTAGCTGCTGCACTACAGCATTTATCAGCAACTCCATGAGGATGCTACAGGAGTTTAATATTCCCTGCGCGGTGGCAGACCCGGACAAAAATACACAGCTCCGGTGTTCATGTACCCGGACGTAAGTCAACCTGCAAGCAAAAGTCACATTTTAATAAAAATTCACGTCGATGCGGATTTAAACCTCATACTTTCGGGTACCCGGTACCTTAGTTGGGATAGACTTTCTTAAAAGAACTCATCATATCGAAAATTATGATTACAAAGCAAAGTATCCTTGTGAAACGTTAAGATCACTTTAGGCATTGGGCGGGTATCGCAGATAGGAAAATTCAATTGACCTTTCCGCTCAAGTCATTTTAAAACACAAATGGACCAAGTTTAGTTCCAGAAAGCCTAGCATATGATACAAATTTTGTGCAGAATGGCAGGTATCGCTTCAGAAGTTTTTAGTGAGCTTCATGTCCATCTTTTCGACAAGGTATGCCTTGTGCTCGGAACCGAACGAGCGGACATGTTGACTGTTTCGCGTTACCTGAGTGGCGAAGTGATGCAAGGCACATGAGGTCAAGGCATTTTGGAAGCTGAACATTGTGGGGACAGGAAATAGATCGCTAAATAACAAGTAGGCGTCAAGAAAACGAGGGTCTAGCCATTTAGCCAACACTCAACAGTTATAGGAAAGGTACGATGGGCAAACAGACTGCTGCAACTAGCAGGCATATAATGAGGCTGCATCTGACATTACTGTAATTTGAACTGGCACTTGCAGTCAAAAAAGAGGATGTGGTGTTTGTGTGCTCTGATGTCATTCCTTTCTCAACTACTTGAGAATGCTTAAAAGGCCCCAGAATCGACATTGAACTCACTAAAGTGACAAGTGTTTTTATACAAATAAATTTGTAAATATTTATCTACTTCTGTTTTTGGGGCGAGGAACAGGGAGCGTTATACGATTTCATCATCTATTTATTACGCCACAAGTTTATTTTGCAGCTTATCTAAGCATTTATTAATCACCACGATTACGTTTTTTTCTTTCACAAACTTGTGTTAACACTGTCTCATGCATTGGACTAAAAATGAAGCTGATATTTTGAGATACATTTTGTGAGAAACTTTTTTAATTAGAAAGAAATATTGCGTGTTATTTGATGTGTGATGAAAATAATCGCATCCAGTCCAATATATGCTGCTCAAGATGGCCGCGTCTTTGATTCAGTTGACGGAGTGACCCTGTGTGTAAGTTTTCAACTGCGTGTTTTGTGGTCGTGTCTCATAAGGTCGACTTGGTTGACATTACATTACCTTCGCACCGCAACATTGTGTTATTGTATAACCGTTTCAAGTAGCATACAGTCAAATATATACAATCTCCACGTGCGTGGATGCATTCTTGGCTTGAGTTTCGATTGGAGAACTTACTAATACTAATAACTAAGTTACTGTGTTTGGCTCATATAGTATACTATATCAGTGATACCTAATTTATATTAGTGTTTATTGAGTCTGCAGTGTCCAGTATGTAAGCGAAAAACTAACTTGGTCTGTTATGTTCAGTTGTTTCAAGAAATCTGTCATGAGGGGAATAAGCATCCTCCTACTAGTTTGTAGAATCGTCAGTAGAAGAAATAATTACTTGTATGTACATTTTGCTCCCTCCCCCGTGTCTCGTGAAAAACCTGATACAATTACCTAAAATCCTAATCTAAATGAAAATCAAAATTGGCAGGTCTCTACGAACGAGACTGAGACTCATTCAAGTTTCTACGAGTATATAGTATTTATAGTACTAACAGTATTAGTGAAGTAATGATAATCCTAAAAAACAAACAAACAATGATTGTTATTATTAGTCTACACACAGTTGCCCCGGATAGGTTTTCAAGGAACAGAACCTGTAGATAAAGGGACAGAGGGACACCACATAAAAAACATTAGGTCTACATCATGTCCCATGGATGAAACCAGCTTGGAAGGCTTGGAAGGTATTAAGTGAACAAATACCGGCTCAAATACCTGCTAAAGTTGCATTTATCAGCCCAAAGGTGCAAATATCGCAACTATGCTGTAAACAGGCACAACACAATTACATCATCTGGATGAACGATGATGAAGAAAAAAATACAATTGTTTGAAGAGATTTAGTTTAAAAAAAAAAGACATGTTATAAGCAATAATTAGCTGAGCACTTTTAAATTAGCAGATTTATATTTTAAACAAAGTGGTATTAAACTAACCAAATCATCCTTAAAATCTAATTTTCATCAATAACAAATATGTAAACAGTGTGCTAGTATCCAAGCAAAATTGGATCTCCGATTATCGCTGAGAAAATAATATGGGGAATGTTTGAGAGAAAAAATATAAATCAAAACTGAAGGCCTACATCGTTTTGCAATTAACAACACAGCTTTGAGATAATAAAATTTGCCTTAAAAACACCCTATAAGTATTATTATTTTTTAAAATGTTGTATATTATATATTTACATTTTATGAGTACTACATTGTTTTCTTCAATTATTCAAGTTTTTAGGGCACATTGAGTAGCAGCATTTCTGTCAGAGACTATGGCGTGCCGACTACCGTTACAGACCATTAAACATCCTCCAGATTTTGTGAGGTGCATCCAGCAAATCTTGAAAGCTGTACCATCTGCAGCAGCTTCATTGAACCAGCATTTAATTGTGTGTAAGCGCTATCAGTCAAGGAGAACAAGAGGTACACTGTCTTCAGTTATTCAGCCTTTGACTGTGCAGCCAGCTGCAAAAAATGCTGATGATATCAACATTGGTGAAGAGTTGACAGGAGTTATAAAAAAAGGTAAAAGATTATTAGCCTACTGTTAAATGTAAAATATTTACTCTTAGTGCTAGGTAAAACTGCCCATATGTTACCAGCTCTTTCTTCTTTTCTCTATCCTAGAATGTCTCGGGGCATCAGGGCAGGAAGAGATCTCTGTAACAGGCCTTCTGTTTGCTTCGTATAAAGTATTTTTCAGTGTCTCTGATTTTTCTGCAGTCTATGTTCTGCGTGGTCTACCTCAGGAACTGTTACCGTTATATCTGTATAACATTGCTGTCTGTGGTGTCCTCTCTGATGCCAAACCAGCTCTTCTGGCAGCGAATATTCATTTTGGCTCTACTTGGAATAACAGTTCTAAATGAACTACGCAGAAAGTTAACCTAAACAGAGCCTCACAACGCAGACAGTTAACGCGGACAGAGTCTCACACATATGTAAAAGTTGCATTTCTTTTGCAGCGATTCAACCGTGTCAAAAGTAGTATTAACTGCGCACGATATTTTCGCGGAATGCAACAGATTTTTTACGGTGATTAGATGGCGGCAAAACAAGGATAAACTGCATACGAAAAAAATTACCGACACACGACAATACTCCCGATAGCACTATCCTACGGCAGGGCCCGAGTTATATGTAAGTTGCCGATCGCTTTTCGCCGACTATAGTACCACCTCCGAGAGTATCCGCCGCTACGCGCGGCGCGGAGGGGGCTAAACTAGATGGCTAGGACTTACGAGCAGCAGCTATCGGAGCTCCTGCAGTTTTCTCCAGTGTATTTGTTCGTGAGTCCTAGCCATCTAGTTTAGTTCCTTCCGCGCCACGCGTAGCGGCGCGGGGGAAACTCTCGGAGGTGGCACTATAGTCGGCGAAAGAAGAAGTTCACATTTTGCACGTTACTGACCCCAGGTCAGCGTACGTTTCCGGCCTCGACATTTTGAAATGTTTGTAGGGCAGGACGTAATGAGGCTCTGTTTGGGATTAACTTTCTGCGTAGCTCATTTAGAACCGTTATTCCAAGTAGAGCCATCATTTTTAATCTAATATGAATGTCATATGAGATGACTAAGAAATATTAGCATGAAACTAGCCACAACATATACATGATATCTCCAGAATCCAGTTAATCATGAGCAAGTCTGTTATGGTTTTGCTTGACGTTTTGGAAGACCTATGCTCTTCTTCTTAAAGTCTGTGCTGTGTGACGTTGGTAGTTATGTCTTTCCACAATCTTCTGCCTCGTGTACTTTCAGTCTAATCTGACACTGATGATCTTCAATGTCATGATGTCAGACTGTTCAGCATCTTCTCTCAAGGTCTCCCTGTCTCTCTTTTCCCCTCTAGCTTTCCATTGTCATAATATAGCCCAGGTTTCTCCTTCTGATAAAATGACGAAAGAATGTAGATTGTCTCCTTCTGATGTAGGCAATCAGTTGTCTTCATGAGTCAGCTTCTTTCAAGGCATCCTCGTTACTCTTTTTTATCTGTCCAGGGTATTCTTATGATTTGTCTATAAAACCATGACTTCATCACTTCCAAATAATTTTTCACTAATAGTCCAACTATCCCTGATTTCACTTTCGTATATCAGGATATGATTTATATAGCTCTTTAGAATTCTCTTTCACGTCTCAGTTGATAAAGAAATATGGCATAGAATATTCTTTTTGTAAAATACTGCCTTTACTTGAGCTATTCTACTTTTAACTTCTTTAATACATCTTCTGTATGCTGTTATCGGGGTACCTAAGTACTTAAATGTATCAGCTTGTTTGAGAATAGTCCCATTAACTTTGATGCTGCATTTTGTTCTACTATGCTTTACTGGGACTTAACCCTTTTTGGCCTTTAAGAATCTGAAGGAAAGCCCAGAATAGTAACACTGGGTCCTCTAATAAGCATATCCTAAGAGACAACTTCCCTGTGTGGGTTCCAGGCCCTATTTTAGGTAAAACAAGAATAGACCTGTTGCCCCCACAACAAGCAAAAGTCAGGGTGCATCTACCTGAGAGGCAAGGAACCAGCAATCTCTATACAGATAAGCCAGATCTGTTAAACAGATGTGTATGCAACACTCACGTTCTGGAAATTGACTGAAGTCCAGAAGTGGACAAACCCTGTCACAACTTTTTACCGGAGTTTACAGCCGGTGAACACAAAGAAGAAGAAGATAAGAGACAACAAAGGCAGCTTGGTAGTATTTTTAAAAACCAGTTGGCACTCGAAAGATGATGCTGTGAATATCATACTGACCACCATTTCTGACCAGGAGATTTTCTGCTAAACATTTTAGGCTGGGTTGACCTGAAAAACTGACCAGTTGTGAAAATTGGCCTAGATGTGGATTGAAATTTATAACCACCAGGGAGGTTACTCACATCTAATTAATTTCCTCATCCTGAAAGATATTCAATCCCCCTGTTTACTCCACCGTCTCATGCACTACCTGCTCAAGGCATCTCTCTCTTTGTTTTGGTCAGCCTCTTTTCCCGATACTATCTCTTCATTATTGTTCTTTCCAAGCCATTGTGATGTTGGATATGCTCAAAGTACTTTGGTTTTTGAGACCAGATGCTGTTTATAAGCGTTAGTGTTAATATCTTTTAGAAAGACAGTTTTCTTTTTTGCTAGGTCCATGTTATTCTAAGAATCTTTCTGTAGCATTACAGCTCATAAGCCCCAATTTTCTTCCTTAGTAATCACAGCTAGCTATAAGTCTAAAAAAGGAAGTAACGATAGGTCAGAGGAATAGTCCTACAACCAATACTACGTATGGCGGCTGCCATAGTGTAGGGGCTAGATGCCCGCAGGCAGATCGGAAGGTCATGAGCTCCGGTCCTTACAGAGCCAGGTTTTTTTTACAAAAAGGACCTTGGGTCCTAGGTCGACCCAGCCTTGAATGATTACCTGATATAGCTCTGGGAAGTAATGGCAGCTTTCTTGACATTGACCACGTCACCCACCGAGTGCTGATTGATCTATAGAATATAGGTCTAACCCTATATGCCAAAAACGCCTGAAGAAGTGGAAAAGGGTCCTTTACTCTGCTCCCCTTCCTGTGTGGGTTTCGGGGCCCCATTTTTAGGAAAACATTAAAGGCCCATTGCCTCCCCAACAAGCATATCGTAGGAGTTGACTAATAGGGGCTTTGCAACACTCAGGTTCTAAAACAAGACTAAAGTCCAGAGGTGGACGAACAGCAAGAACTTTCCACTGGAGTTTACAGCCGATGAATGCAAAGAAGAAGACTGTACTCCCTATTGTATTTATTTGAATGTTTGTTGTTTCCACTGTCCTCTTATGAGAGCTGTTGTTTGTTTTTCATTTGAAATAGAAAACCTGCTGAAACTATTGTCAGTATTTCACAATGATGATAAAATAAAGAAACTTGCATCTGAAAATGGCCTAGACCGTAAGTAAACATTTGTAATAAAATAAACCACACAAGTTTGCATAATTGTGTCTTCTCTAAGTTAGTTGCATATCCTTTACAGGGCATTGTAAAACCAACCCCAGCATTTATTTGGCTGTTGTGGTTTTTCTAGGCAAATTTTACGTTCAGTAGTTTGCCATTGCTTCCTGAACGGTCAGCTCTCAATACTACTGTTGAAACCAACTGCAGGACAAATTATCTGCAACTGGGATTGAACCCAGCTTTAGGAAGCGCGTTCGCAATGCCTAAGCTACAGATACTGATGTGTCTCCTCTACTGTTAAATATTTAACCTTTAAAGCATGTTTGTCTTTTTCTGTTTTTAGTGCAATATTATTCTGTATGTTTAAATGTTTCATGAAGTAGTTAAAAGTTAACAATTATTTATAAACCTTTTTGACACTATATATTGCCATGAAGAAGAGAGTTAACAAATATACCAAGCAACATTGATTTAAAGTAAGTAGGTAAAGGACCCTTTTCAAACGCCTTTAGGCATATAGGGCTAGACCTGTTTTTTTTTATAGACCAGTCGGCACAAAATGGGTGATGTGGTCAGCATCATGCTTGCTGCCTTTACTACCCAGGATTGCACCCAGTACCCACTCAAGGCTGGGTCAACCTAGAAGCCAAGGTAGTTTTTTGAAAAAAGTGCGGCTTCCCCAGGGAGCGAACTCACGGCCTTCCGATCTGCAGGCGAGTGTTTAGCCGCTCCGCCACAGCGACTCCCAAAAGTGTGTGGTAAATTATACCAACCTTGAATATTGACTGCAGATTCTGGTCTCATGTCATAAAAAGTTATTGGAGAAAGAAAGGGGAAGAGAAAGAGGGAGAAGATAGAGCGAGAAAGGGCGTTTGTCTGTGCCTTTGTGGGCGTGTGTATGTGTGTCTCCATATACAATTGTATACATCTGATTATATCAGATAATTTATCATCCCATGTTTCATTCCAGGTAATTTATTCCATCGAGCCTTTTTGAGTTTTAGAAAATTCTGTACTGAATCCAACCATCTGCCTGTAGACTTGCACGTAGTTTTCAGTGATATACTTCAGAGATCTGGTGAGTTTATACATATATTGTGCATATAACCATGTTTTTATATGCCCAAAACAGTTTATTTGTTGAACCTTCATCTCTTTCAGTAATCTTCGCCTTGGGATTTCTGGAGCCCCAATGTGAGGTTTAAAAAAAAAATAATACAACCCCCACTGCCTCCCGAACAAGCATGTTATAAGAGTAAACTAATTAGGGAATTCCTTCAAAGTTGGAGTGCATCTGCCCCAGAGGCAAGAAACCAGCAGTTTGTTTATAAATTAGCCAGATCTGTAGAATGGATGTGCATACAAAACTCAAGTTCTAGAACAAGTCTTTTGTCTAGAAGTGAATTAACAACCATACATTTCAGCCAGAGTTTGCAGCCGGTGAAGACAAAGAAGAAGAAGATTTAGTAGTTTTGTTTTCACAAGACTTCTTTAAAAGGAAAACAATTATTATTCTTTTTTTTCTTTGGCCAGTGTCTGTTTAAGAGTTGTGAAAGCAGTTGTTCAATCTGATGTCTGGAGCATATCATGGATTTTGTTATGTGTGCCTGGGACATTCTGGGGTGCAGAATAATGAACAGGCTGATTGATTAGCTGCTGCCGCTCCTCTGTATAGTGAGCTACTTTATGGTAAAGCAGAGTGACATTATGAGAAATATATGGATTTAAGAAACGGGGATATCCAAGAGAAACTAAGGCGAATGTTGAGGAAAAAGGCCAAAGGTGCTGGAATGGATTCTATCTGTGAAATTCAGGTGATTGCGCAGGATAGAATCGAATGGAGAAATAGACACGCTCTATGTGATATTTAATGGCACAACAAGATAATGAACAATGAAAGAGAGATACAAACCTTTTACCTCACAGCAGGATTAAAGATAGTCAACTGGGCATAATTAGTCTAATTAGTATCATGTTCTACTAGTGATACCCATCCATCATCAGATTTTGAAGAGAAAGTGCATGTCAGAAATTCTTGACAGACTTTTGTCATGGCATGAAGGGGTGTCAGCACACACTGGTACATTCTGTTGAAGATAGCAGATTGTAGAGAAACATGTTTGCCTCCCACACATGGGCAGGATACTTCATGATGATGATAGAATTCTGCCCAGATTAAAGTTTCAAATTAGGAAACCTGCCCACAACAGATTTTTTATAACATTTATAGTCATCATATATATACATTCGGAGGGTTGTCAGCATTGCAAAATGTGCACATTATGTTGGAATTCACCTTTTATGATTTATGTTTGGAGACTGAAGCAGTTGTATGTCTAATTGTTCAGTGAAAGTGATCTGGCACAAACCTAATGAAACAAAACTAGGTAGCCTGAACTTCCCATAAAAAAAGATGCTTACAGTCAGATACACATGGCTAAAGATTTGTTGAAACGGTGCAGAATAATACAGTTTGTGATGCTGTTAAAATAAAACAGATTCTCATTTATGTTTTCCCCCTTTTTGTTGCAGGTCATATACATGATATTTTCCCTTACTTTCTGCGTCATAGTTATGAAATTTTCCCTCATTTGGAAGCAATGGAGGATTTGAAAAAGATCAGTGATCTCCGGTTTCCTGCAAATTGGTATTTGAAATTTATTTATCAGTTTTAAAATTAAAGTAGTCTTTTATTTCCTAGTCTGATAATAATATTTGTAATTAAGAACTGGTGTTTGCCATGTCATGAAACATATTGACAAAATAAAAAATAAAATACATTATGTTGACAAAGCATCATTGAATAGAGCAGGAAAAGAAGAAAAATGTTGTAGGACTGGACAATCAGTGCTTATGTTGATTATATGCAATGTTGTTGTTCTAGCAGAACATTTATTTCATGCTTGATCACGTTGAAACATGTTTTGTCAAGTATTTGAGAATTGATAAACATTCACAAAGTGGGATTAAGAAAAACAAGGGGGTGTCTGCTATGAGATAAGTCACAACAGTATCATGAGTTACCATTGGTCGATATTTTCTTGAGGTATAACACGTCTCCTCTTCAAGAAGAAGAAAAACATCGACAGCCTGCGTGATCTGAGCAACGAGGAGAATTGGCCCATAAACAGCATCCTGTCCTATTTTGGCCATATTAAATGTCATGGTGGCCTGGAGAAAAGGGTGGTGGAAGGCACAGTTTCTGGAAATAAGGCAGAGGCAGACCTCACCCTAGATGGATACAAGACATTGACGATACATTGGCTGTGGAAGAACATAAGGCTGGAGAATTGGCTAGAGAAAGAGAGACTTTTAAGCATGCCTTGGTGAGAAATATGTTCTGTAAAAGACCTGATGTTTAATGATGATAACAGTTCATCCTAAAATCTGTGACCATTCAATTTGAACATTTAAAGATTCTGACCCGTTAAGTTAAATTATAAAATACAGTTGTCCCCATGTAGGATGTTCAATTTTTTGTTATTTGAAGCCCTACCCTGGCTTTTGCCGGGGGCCATTAATATGGTCATAATGACTGAAAGGGGTTTCTGGGACCTCTCCACTGGTGGTTCTCATCCGCATGGTGGCACTTTGTGTCACCTGGTGTTTATCGCTTGTGTGATGTCCTGGTGGGGAAAGAGAGAGAGAGTGTGTGTGTTAAGTTAAAATGGAATAAACAGAAATGTTAGCCATGTTTTTGAGGGAGTTCCAGTCTGCTTTCAAGCACATAAACACAAATGTAGATCTCACTGTCAGTAACTTTTTCAGCTGAAATCCATGGCGTAACGTGGAAACATTTAGTGCCTCTACAGATTGTTTTATCACATAGTGACAGAAAATTTCATTTTAGTACATTGTCAAACACATTTGATTAGATAAATGACAGAATATACCAAATTTCTTTTTATTCTTCTGCGCTCACCCTTAAAAGGGCAGTTGTCACGCTGTGTTGTGGTTTACAGCTAGGCTGTCTGTACCTCTCGGCCCAAAACTTTCAATTTCATCAAAACCCTAGTTAATTGCCTTTTACAACTTGCTTATTAGGGAGCAAATTAGGGCCCAGACCACACAGGGATGTATTTCTTGTTAAGATGTAGTAGAACATGATAGATGACATAAATAGTCATGTTGTATGTGTTGGTCTATTGTAAAACACAGATTTGAGAAATGCTATAATATGCCAAAATTATTTTTGGTATGTTGTTATAGTAGAACATCTTCGACTTGACAGATAACAAAATGTGGTAGTTTAAAAAAAATATCTTGTAGAACACCTTTGGTCCCTTCTTTTCATGTTGTATTCTTTTATAGTGGAGCGCAGACCCTCAGCTAACTCAGGCTAATTTGTGTGTAGACATTGTCGTAATTGCTCCTCTGACACAGTTCCTCCTTCACTACCCATCACAACTTGTCTGGCAGATTGCACTGTTACTCTTTTTCATTACCCTTATAGAGATTACCTGTATTTCACATAAATGTGTACAAAATATATTGCCTTTACATTGTATGGCAGTTGTAATGGGCCTGGCTAGATACTCGCCTGCTGACCTAGAGGTTTTGGGTTTGAATCTGCATATGGATTTTGATCAAAAATGACCTTGGCTTCCATGTCAAAACAACCTAAAATGAGTGCTATGTAAAGTCATGCAAAGTAAAAGCGGTTAGAGTTATGTTGACCACATCACCCATTGAGTACTGATTGATCTACAAAAATATGAGTCTTGCGTCATATACCTGATTGAAAAATGCCTTTTTTTTCTTCACTTTTTAAGTGCTGATTCTCTTATTTGTAAAATTTGTGACCTTAAATAAATTTTATCTGAAAGGTATCCTGAAGCTCGCTCCATAGAACGCAAGTTTGTATTTCACGCTGGCCCAACCAACAGTGGGAAAACATATCATGCTTTAGAACGGCTCATCAAAGCAAAATCAGGCATCTATTGTGGTCCCCTCAAGTTATTAGCCGCTGAAGTCTTCCATAAATGCAATGATGCTGTAAGTATTTAAAAAAAAAAAATTGTGGAAATATGAATCATCAAAATTTGGTACATAATTTGCAGAAAGTTACTGTTGTTATTACCTATCTGAAAGAATCTTGATATTTTGCTAATTAACTCTCATCATCATATTGAAGCTTGCTATGTTTTTCTCCAGGATCAGGATCCAGGATTCAAAAGAACAAAAATTTCAAACTTGTGACTTCTTTCAGCTGCCTGACGGCTTGCTATATCAAAGTCGATTGCAGTTGTGGTTTGACTTGAATTTCTTTCTTGTGGCGATATTTTTCGCCTGAGTTTTCCTTTCATTTGTTGCGTCTTGTTAGCAGCGTGGGCTTGGCGTGCGGCTAGTAGGTTTAGGGAGTGGACATGGCTGTCCTGAGAAGGACAGCCACATGTGCCGGGTGGCCTGGAACGGGATGGGCGGGGTCTGGCTTCTGTTTGTCAGGTTCTGGTGGCGTACTGGCGTCGTTCAGTTGGCGGGATGGTTTTTCCAGAAAGATGGCGGCTCGGTTTTTTTTGGCTTCTGCTACGTTAGTAGCGTCGTCGTCGCCTTCCTCGGTTGTTTCTCTGGGTAGGAGTTGTATTCGGCGGGCCCCATTTTTGCTCTTTTGCGTTCCATACTTGGCAGTTCTCCAGTGCATAGTGTTCTTCCTGGTCTCTTAGGAATTGTTCCTTGTCGAAGAAGTACGGAGCGGGTTCTACGGGCGGTGTACAGCTGGCAGTCGGGAGCTCCTGCTCTGCTTGTGTGTATTCTTCATCGGAAATGATCTCTCCATCTGACTGTTCGGTGTCTGTGATGACTGGGATCTCTTCAGAGTCTTCTTTGTCGGTTTCATTATGTTCTGTTTCGGTCATTTGCGCCTGATGCTTCGTTGTTAGGTTGTCAGTGGAGACGCTTTTGTCGGCCTTGTTGGTATTTGGCTTTTTTGTGGCATTTCTTTCTTTTTCCAGCAGGGCTCTTTCTGTCTTAGCTGCTTGTGCTGCTGTTATGGCTTCTGCGGTGGCTTTCTCTAGTTTGGCGGCTTCGTGGCATGTGGCTTCCCGTGCATTTGTTATCTCGGCCAGCTCCTTCCTTCTCTCCTCTCTCTCTGTCTGGCGGCGTACTTCTTCTTCTGCTTGGGTTGCTCTGAGGCTGGTAAGTAGCTCTCTGAACTTTTGAAGGTTTTCTGCGTCTTCTGACTGTCTGTTTGTTTGCTGGGTAGCGTATGCCAGCCTTTCTGCCTTTAGGTCCTTGATCTCCCCTAGCAGTAGGGAAATCAGTTCAAGGGTCTCCGTTCTTTCAGCGGCTGCGGTGGTTCTTTCTTTCTGGAGTGCTGTGATTTGGCTTCTCAGTTCGTCGACTATTTGCGGTGTATCATTTTGGATGGTGGCGGAGCGTGCCTTATCGTTTGGTTTGTCTCTTGGCATGTTTCTTGGTGGTCTTGCCTCCGGCTGTCTGGGTGCCTGGCATGTATCTCTGGCTGAGGCGGCTGTCATCTCTCTCCTGCACTTCTTGAGGTATGGGCACCCCAGGTACCTCGCACTGTGTGGGCCTGAGCAGTTGCTGCATTTCCGCTTTTTGTTAGGCTTTTTGAAGTCGCTATCGAGTTTCGCTAGCGGACACTCCTTGAAGTCGTGGGCCCCCGAGCAGTACCGACAAATAGGGCCACTGCGGCAGGTCGCGGCGGTGTGCCACGCTCTGTTGCAGCGTGAGCACTGCATGATGTCTGTGGTGTGGGCTCCAGGCTGCTGCTTAGGAAAGCGGGCGCTTGTGAGTCTCTGCGCCACGACTGGGGCGGCTTTAGGTGGTGGCTCCACGATAGGGGAGGCTTCGGGTGTCGGCGCCTCGATAGGGGCGGCTTCTGGTGCTGGCGCCACGATAGGGGCGGCTTCTGGTGCTGGCGCCACGATGGGGGCGGCTTCAGTTGTTGGCGTAGGTGTGCGAGGCGCCGCGATAGGGGCGCCTGCCGGTGAGGCTGCTGGTACGGCTCTCCTCTTCCTTGGTGTAGGTACGGCTGCTTGTTGTTCTCCCATGATAGGAAAATCAATGGCAAGGCTTGTTAGAGTATCCTAAAAAGGACACCCAAGCGTGCTTTCTCCTTAGTTCTCTAGCAATCGTTTAAAATACTGGCTGGTATGACTGGCTCTCAAACAATGCTGTGCTCCCGGGCCGCCAATAACCCACCCGCAGACGAATAACAATAGTCTAGTCGAGCCAAAACTCAGCCGAATGTCAAGCGAGTTCTGACCAGTATCTAGCTATTGATAATCTGGCTACGAATGGATAGTTGGCAAGCAACGAGAGACACACACGTGGCTTTATCGGGCGGTATCGAGCGAGCGAGAGAGAGCTGTGTGCGACTTGGCTGTCAGGCTGCGAATGATTTTTCTCCAGGGCATGCCAGTGTATTGGAAAAGGATTAGGCGGACATATTAGCTGGCTCTGCACAACATGGTGGAATGTTGATACATGATAAAGCAGATATAGTTAGCAAGTGTACAGTTTAAAACAGCAGATTGATCATCACAGTCTGATGAGAGTGATGCAGCAAGGAGTGAGTTTGGAGGGGGGCTGAGGCCAGTACTCAGAGCTCAGAGGAAAGTCGGAATGGACATATAATAGACTGCTACTGGCACCACTGGTATGGTAACTCTACTTTTGCTGAAGATGGGGAAGGAGTGCTGTGATATCGGTTCTTGAATCAAATCAGATCAAATCATTATTACGGATTTTGCTATCTTTACGACACCCTAGACACGTACAAATGTGCTCAGATTCTCACCTCAGCATATACATCAGCATCCTGCAGTTAATAGTGCCAGTCCTATGCTGGTTGACATTTTTATTATTTTGTATTTATGTCATAGTCAGCCACTACCTTCTCTTCAACCAGCCATCCTCTCCATTCTGCTGTTTCTAAACACTCTTGCCATGCTAAGGTACTACAGCTCCTAGAACATGTTATTGTTCTTCTGGCCAACTTTGTTCATTGTTCAAATCTAATAGGATGTCTATATTATTCTTCATTCTTGGTAAAGAGTACTATTTAAATGCTTTACTTTTTAAAAATGCCATACAATTTTAAGGTTTAATATTTAACTGTTAGAAATGGTAATACAATCATCTGTTATCTTGAACTGTGTTTAACATAGTGTCCTGACCTGTATGATAGGATGGGCCCTAAGGATTTTTTTTAATACTTCAAAGAATAGGAACTAAAGACTGGTCTGATGCGACCTTGTCTGATTGGAGATTAATATTATATTTAAACTGATCTCTCCTTCACCCTGCTTAACATTAGTACCAGAAAATGTCCTGGGTAGTAAAAATTGTTCCCATGATGTTGGAACATATCTTCAACCTTGCACCAATTGATCAGTAGAAGTCTTTGAGTCTAGCATCACATACCTGATGTGCCACTTGCAGGAAAAGGATCCTCAACTCTTTCAGTCCCAGACATTTTACTCTTAAATATGTTACTTGAACTCATGATCTATAATATTACTTTAATACATATTAAGATCTCAGCAAATTAAAAAACCATCATAACACTTAGGGGTAAAAGTAGAAGCTGGGTTCAAGTATGTTAATATATAACATCTAGCTTTGACACAAGAATTACACAGATTTTTATCATGCAAGTTGAAGAAGAAAAAAACATGCCTTGTGGCCTGGTGAGGAAATAAACTATTTACTTTAGAAGAGTCGTAGCAACATAATGGTTATTATGCTACGATAGTAGTTCTTGTTCAGTGTAGTATTCAGCATTGTTTGTTATTGTATTGTGTTAACTTATTCTGTAGGGTACTCCATGCGACCTTGTTACTGGTGAGGAAAGACGATTTGCAAAAGATGATGGAACACAGTCTGATCATGTTGCATGCACCATTGAGATGGCCAGTCTAACAACACCATGTATGAACAGTTTGTTTCTCAACATAATAAGATTTGCAGATTCTACAGCATTCTTTAACCTGTCACATGGCATTTTCTAATTATTTGAATGCTGTAGTTTTTTTTTTTTTTAAGATGGAGTGATTATAGATTTTGACAGTTTATGGTGGTTTTCCTCGTAAGAAAAGATTCAAGATTGTAATTAATTGATAAAAATACACAGGCAATAATGAAAGAGCCAGAGAGTACTTGATATGTTGTTTTGCACTTTATTTTTGATGCTCAGCCCAGTACATGTCAAATGTACTCCCATGAATGTATTTTTAAAACATCAGTTTACAAGTAATTAAAAAAAAACATTTATTCTTTGTTTTGGGGGGGGGGGGGGGGGGGGGGGCAAACAGTCACTGACATCAGCTGAATTGTCTGTTTTTGTTGCTGTTTCTTGCTTTTATTTCTGTTCATTATGCATGCATTCATATGAGAGTTATTATGATTTACTGTGCATTCTTTCAAAGACTGACATTTTTCCATGTCATGTCAGCAATTTCTGCCTTAAAACTGTGCCATCCTTCCTTCCTTTGCATTCACTGGCTGTAAACTCTGACAGAAAGTTCTGGTTTTTCATCCACTTCTTGAGCTTCCAGAGCTTGCATTTAGCTTGTACATCGGTTTTACAGACCTGGCTTATTTGTATGCAGACTGGGTTCCTCCCTTCTCAGGCACAAGCACTCCAACTTCGAAAGATGTAACTCTGCCTAAATCTTTATTCTGTTGGTCGTAGCTGTAGTTGGAATCGATTATTGCAATTTTGAAACCTCAGAGTGGCACTAGAATGTTTTTGGAAGTGAAGTTAAGCAGTCGTAAGCAGGACGTGACAATTCCTTGGTAGGGCTCAATAACCGAGCACCAAATATTAGCTTTGCATTTATGGAAACCTTCTTGGTTAATATGAACTAGATGAAGCACAAGCGGGTTTCAGACAGGGTAGAGGAACTAGGGATCACATCTTTAATATGAGAATAATTTTTGAAAAATGCAGAGAATACAACGTAGACCTTAATGCTTGTTTTATTGATTATAGTAAGGCATTTGATTGTGTCCAACACCACAAACTGTGGACTATTATGAAAAGTATGGGGTTTCCAGCACATTTAGTGCATTCAATTGAAAATTAATAACCTGAACAACATGCAGCCATCAGAGCAGCTGGTGAAACATATGATTGATTCGAGGTGCAAAAGGGGGTGAGGCAGGGGTGCATTCTCTCACCATACCTATTCAATATAAATGCAGAAAATATAATGAGAAATGTCAAAAATAACCAGACGTGACAGTTATGATCCGCTCAAAATTGGTGGCAACCTTATTCCGGAACTCCGCTACGCAGATGACATGGTCCTCCTTTCGAACAGCGTAAAGGGATTAGAAAATTTAATATTGGCTGTCCAAAAGCACAGTAAAGATCAAAATCTGTTCTTGAATTTAAAGAAAACGAAAATGATGTCCACAGATAAAACTGGCTGTCACCCAAAAAAAAAACAATAAATGATGAAGAAATTGAAAATGTCACAAACTTTTGAATATCTCGGCTCTATATTAAACAACAATGAAGACTGTTCAAAAGAAATTAAAAGGAGGATGGCCATAGCAATGCAAAGATTGAACAGCCTTTAAAGTCTATGGTTAAGCACCAGCAGGGAGATAAAAATTATATTTTTGAGAGCATGCATCTTTCCTGTGGCTACATACGGATGTGAGTTGTGGACTATCTCTCAGTCCTTAAGAAAGAGAATAGGGGCATTTGAGCTGAAATGCTATAGAAAGATTCTCAGAATATCTTGGACAAAGAAGGTGAGAAATATTGACATCTTAAAAGATCTGAACATCAAAAAAGATTGGCTAATAAACAGCATCCTTTCTCGAAAGCTGAAATATTTTGGTCATATCAAGCGCCACGATCGATTGGAAAAAATTATAGCAGAAGGCATGGTACCAGAAAGGAGGGGCAGGGACCGACCGACACAAAGATGGCCACAGAATATAAGTGACTCCTTGAGTGTGAAAGCGCATGAGGCGGGAGAACTGGCGAGAGACCGAGTTTCTTTCAGGCAGACTGTGATGAGAGCAAAGGACCTGCTACATGATGATGATGACTTGGTCAGTGCTTACTTTCTTTTGAGGGGTGACCAGCATGACTGGCTTACTCTGGACTGGCTTAATTGGGGGAACCATCCACTAGGAAGCAAAGATGATAACACAGTGATAAGGATGTGCAGTGAACCAAAAAACTAATCGGCAAGGCTAATCTGTGCTGCAAATGTGTTTGCCGTTATCGCAGCCATGCTGTAAACGAGAGCTGTGTAGTTACGTCCTCAGTTTTGAACGCAGAAGAAGAGGAACGTTAATATCAGTGTTTTATGTTTACAGTTTTACGCTTTAATCATGTTATCATCCTTTGAAATTTTACAATTTGTTTGAAATTCTCTAATTGTTCAGATGAAGTGGCAGTCATAGATGAAATTCAGATGATCCGAGACCAACAGCGAGGGTGGGCATGGACACGTGCTGTCCTAGGACTGAATGCACAGGAGATCCATGTGTGTGGTGAAGCCTCATGCATTGATTTGGTTAAGGAGTTAGCGCTCACTACAAGGGAGGAAGTGCAGGTAGTCTTGATAACTTTTGTGTTTGTTTAATTAGTTCAGTATCATTGTACTTTTGATAGAGTGTCACTGGCAGAAGCTGTTGGGCTGAGAATCTAATGCAGCTTGTTTACTTGATTGGACCCAAGAACTTCCAGTGTGGGTTCCAGGGCCACAATTTGGCATTTAAACCACAGTACAGCCTGTAAACAGCCTTTCCAAGTTCACAGCCATCTATCCAATCCGTGTAATTCTAATTCTGTCTGATAGAGATGATGTTCTTCAATATCCTGATGCGACAATTTTCCATCTTTCCTCTGTCTCCTTCAATCCCCCCCCCCCCCCCACCCCTTAACTTTCCTGTTGTCACAGTGCACTCTAATTTTAATGTCATTACAAAGAATATTGTCTTGTGTATTTTCAAAATCAGAGTATTCTTTTAAAGAAATTCATTTTCAATTATGTGTGAAAATATATGATGGCAAATGGTTGTTTTACCTTAAGAATGCTTTAAAAAAAGTCACGAACTGGTTAGAATCCAGGTAAAAATCCTTTTAAAAAAACGTTCCTACACAGGTCCATAATAAATATTTTTTAAAGTGTATTTATTTATATTTTAATTTTGTTATCCTAAAATATATAAAGTGGTAATCAATAAACACGGACATGGTGAAGCATTAAATGGAATACATTCCCTGGGGTTTTAAAAAACCAGTATGTGTTGGGTGACTTGTGCCACAGCCAGTCGCTATCACTTAGGCTTACTGGACAGTTTGACATAAACTTGGCGTTAAAAAAGCCATTGGTGTGATAAAGACCCTTGCCCCTTTCCTCCATACACTGTTTTTAGGTCTTTATTATATCCTTGAGTATTAAACATGGCGCTGTACACATAAGACCAATAGAATTTACATTTTTTTTTAAACAGATCACTGCAGACATGGCCATATATCAGCATTTGGAATGCTTTGCCACATCCGGAAGTGACTAGATTTAGCCTTCTTGGGACTACAGGGTTAAAATTAATACTGTGTCTTATTGAGCTAAATTCTATATGTAGACAGAAGTGCATTTGCAGTAAAGAAATTTTTCTAGCAGTACTTTGATGTCTGTTTTAGGTTTCTCGGTACAAAAGGTTGACAAGCCTCACATACTTGAATGAAGCTATTGGTAAGTGAGATGTTTTCAGGCCTGTTGACTCTGAAACAATGTGATGTTTTTTCCTTGAAAAATTAGAGTTTTAATCTACTCTTACATGTTAATGGTTAATTTTTTATAATGGTTTTTCAAACAAATGATATTCTGAAAAGTAATTAAACAGTTTTTTTTCCAAAAGCAAAACAAAATAAACTTTAAATTAGGGCTGTACCGAATATTTGCTTTGTATTTGCTTCGGGCCCAAATATTGAACCTGATAACTATTTGGTATTCGGCCGAATAGTTGCAGTCAGCCAAATATAAATAGCGGTTACCTTAACACCCGTTTCTGGACTGGTGGAAAATAAACATATCAAGATTTCCCACCTTGGTTCATACTGTCAAGCGTTATCTTTGTGCACCACCTACGAGTGTACCTAGTGAACGTCTGTTTAGTACAGCTATAAATACTTTCAATGAGACTAGAAGCTGCCTTAATGCTGACAAGATGGAACAAAGTTTTTGGCTCTTCTCCGAACTTCTACCCCAGCATTATGGTGGCCGAACAAATATCCATACGGGGCTCAGTCCTATAAAAAATATGCGAACTTCCAGTGACGAACGAATCGCTGCAAAACTAGGATTACCTGACAATGTCAAGAGATGAAACACTGCAGACGATACTAGCGACCATTGACAATTTCGAGACACGCAACATTACTGACGATAACAGCCACATGGCGTGGAGACCATATGCGCCGATGCAGATTAGCGTTGTTGTTGTCCTCAAACTTTTCGGCATGCACAAAATGCAGTTACACTCACCACCGACAGTATCCCCCACGCCGCTACGCGCGGCTTAGGATGGGGGACTAAACTAGGTGCCTGAGACTCACGAGCAAATTAATTGAAGGAAGTTGCAGGAGATGCGGCAGCTGCTGCTCGTGAGTCCCAGCCATCTAGTTTAGCCCCCATCCGCGCGGCACGTAGCGGCGCAGGGGATATGGTCGGCGGTGAGGCATAGTCACAGAAACAGGTCCGCAATTAACATATCGCTGAGACCCTGTTAGAGCATTTGTTTCGTTATATGGAGCCGATCCTAGTTTTGCTGCGATTCGTTCGTCGCCGGAAGTTCGCATATTTTTAATAGGACTGAGCCCCATAAGGATATTTGTTGCTGCCATAATGCGGGGGTAGAAGTTTGGAGGAGAGCCAAGTTTTTTTTTTTGGAAAGCTAATGCTGCTTTCATGGATTAACTAAGCTGTCAGTGACAATTTACAAGTTTAGTTAGTTGTTATATAACTAAGAATACTTTCATTCCTAGGTACTAGTTACCACAGACTGACTGACTGACTGAAGGATGCAAAACATGAAATGTTTTTTAAAGGTTTACTATTCTGCACTACATTTTGTGAAGTAAAATTTCAGCGTAGTTTGACATTATGGATGGTTTTTTGGGGGGATCTATTTTATGCACTATTTGAAAGTGGAAGAATGGGCCTCAGTTTGAATAGTGGGAAGACAGAAGTAATGGTGGTATCAAAGAAAGTAATTATTCCTAAATGTATAATAAAAGTCAATGGTTTTATTTTGGGACTAGTACATAAATTTAAGTATCTGGGCACATGGATAACATCAGATGGAAGATGCATTACTAAAATAAGAAACAGAATAGGACAGGCAAAAACTACACTTTATAAAATGAAGAACATCTTATGCAATATATCTTTGTCATTGAAAGTTAGAAAAAGAATTCTTGCTTGCTACACACATCCAGTTTTAACATATGGCTGTGAGTCCTGGACAATCGGTAGGCAGGCCAAACAATTTTTTGAGGCCTCAGAGATGTGGTTTTACAGAAGAATGCTTAAAATACCTCGGACAGCCAAAAAGAGCAACCAAGAGGTTTTGAAAGAGGCGGGAGCCCGAAGACAACTACTCACAGACATCAGAAGGAGACAATCATCATTTTTCGGCCATGTTATAAGATGAGGGAAAATGGAACTTGTGGTGACCACTGGAAATATATGTGGAAGGAGGGATAGAGGACAACAAGAGAAGATTCTTGACAGTCTTGTTGCATGGCATGGAGGTGTGTCAGCACACGAACTAAAACATGCTGCAGGAGATCGCAGATTGTGGCGAGGCATAATCGCCCATGCCAGTCGGCAAAGCACTTGATGATGATGATTCACTATTCGAATTCGGCCAAATAGCTGGTCCAGCTATTCGTATTTGGCCAAATAGTGAAAATCACTATTCGGTGCAGTCCTACTTTTAATACAATTGTTTATCATGTATATGTATTTGGATATATCGGCTCAGGTATTAATTAATCTCTAAGTGTTCAGTGTTTAACAAGGTAAGAGACTAGTGAAATATTTAAGCCAGAACTCTTAATAAAAATAATCCTAGAGAGAATAGCGGATGACATAAGCTAGAGGTAGACAACAATATAAGTGAGAGTATAACTTCAGGAGATAGACAGACATTCCAAGTGTAGAAACAGGGCAAGAAGCAGTGTTTTCTTGATTCACTGCAGCCAGTTTTTCTTCTGGAGATGGCACCTAATTGATTGAATGTTTGTATTACCTTCTTGATGTTCATGTTTTGTTTCTTCAGAAAATATTCTCTTTATCTTCATCTAGCTTCAGTATTAATATTTCATTTAGAATATTTGTTTAACACTTTACTGACCAACTTCAGTGATCGTCAAATTTCCGTTTGTATCCCCTGGTGACCAACTTTGACAGTCATCGAATTCACGAGGTGTAGTCTGTCGACCGATGTCCCTACCAATAGTTTTTTTAAATTGAACTGTATCCAGGTGTTTTTAGTATTCCAAGATGGCTGCGCCCGCGATCATAACTGCGATCCAGAATTAGCTTAATTGTATCCAGATCTGGCTCATTTTAAATCCAGATTAGGCTTACTTGTATCCAGATTTGTTTTTTATATCTAGATTTGGCTTATTTTAAACCCACATTAGGCCTTTTTAAAAATACAGATCTGGCTCATTTTGCATCCAGATTTGGCTTATTTGTATTTAAAATTAGCTCATTTTAAATCTAGATTTGGCTATTTGTATCTAGATTTGCATATTTAAAACCCAGATTTGGCTTATTTTTTTTAATCCTGATCTGGCTTAATAGATCTATATCTGACTCATTGTAAATCCTGATTTGGCCCATTTTAAATCCAGATTTGTCCAATTTGTATCCAATTCAGGCTTATTTGTATCTAGATTTGGCTATTTTGTATCCAGATTGTCTATATCCAGATTTGACAAGTTACAAGCCAAATCTAGATACAAATATGCCAAATCTTGATACAAGTAAGCCAAATCTGGATTTAAAATGAACCAGATCTGGATTTAAAATAAACAACTAGATTAACAATGAGCCAGATATGGATGTAAAATAAGCCAGACTGAATACAAATAAGCCAAATCTGGATACAAATAAACCAGATCTGGATTTAAAATAAGCCAAATCCTAATACAAATTAGCTAAATCTGGATACAAATTAGCCAGATCTGGATTTAAGATAAGTTAAATGTGGATTTAAAGTAAGCAAAATCTGGATTTAAAAAAACAAAATCTGGATACAAATAAGCCTAATCTGGATTTAAAATGAGCTAGATCTGGATACAAATAAGCAAAATCTGGATCGCGGTGCTGATCGCAGGCGCAACCATCTTGGAATAATAAAAACACCTGGATGCAGTTCAATTACAAAACTTTTGGTATACGATGTTAGAATCATATGTTTGTAGACCAGTTAGTACTTAAGCGATGTGGTCAACATTGAAAAGACATTCTAGTTTATGACCCACAGTGGATTATGCTCATGACCAGAGATCGCTGAAGAAACCCTTTCATGCCAAGCCACAAGTAATTGCATAGTCATGTGATAAGAACTGCTGAACCGTGAATAAGAGCATATGCTTATTGTCCCATTTTGCATTGGTTCTGTTTCTGACCGTTGAGAAAATGTTTGGGTAGATCCAGAATTCATCCAAAGACACCCAAAGAATGATGATTCAGTTTCTTTGAAGGATGTCGACCAGTGGACAGTCATAGATGAATTCAGGCAGTGACAGCTAAAGTTTATGATTTTGAAGCTAGGATGTAGATGAATTGATAATGTCAGAGTGATTTCCCTGCTGTGACAATGCAGTAACCAGGGCTACACACCTGGTACAGAAGAAATAATTCAACATTCCCCTTTGCTTGAGTGCCAAAAGATAGCCTTTGCAATTGTGTTCATTCTGTCTGTAGATGATGTTCAGTCTGTGAATAGACAATGTTTAGTATGTGGATAGACATTTTCAGTCTGTTGATAGACATGTTCAGGCTACCTGTGAATAGACACGTTCAGGCTACCTGTGGATAGACATTTTCAGTCTGCCTGTGCATAAAATAGACAAATGAAACCATTTTTCAAGCAAAGATGAAAACAGGCAATTTTTTTAAAAATCCGAACCCCCAAAATATGGGGAAAATGGGGAAATATCTTTGAAGCTTGATCTTGCATTGAAACTAGTTGTGCTCACGTGCATGCTGTGTTGTGTTTTATATCAGTCTGCCAACTTTTACTCACAGAAAAATTCCAGAATGTGCGACCAGGTGACTGCATTGTGTGTTTTAGCAAGAATGACATCTACTATGTGACTAGACAGCTGGAGCAGTTGGGGAAGGAATGTGCAGTAGTATATGGATCCTTGCCTCCATGTAAGTCCTATGTTATGTTTATGAAACATTTAGTTTTCTTTACGCTTTCATTTTCAAAAAATGCTTTTTTTTTTCATTGTTGCCTAGTTTTCTTGACATTTTTGTTTCAAAAATCATTTTTTTATTTTGCCTTAATTTTCCTAATTCCATCAAAAAATTTTAATTGTTGCTTAGTTTCATTAACATTTCTTTTTGCAAACATCTTTTATTTTTATTTTTGCCTAGTATTTCAAACATTTCCCTTGTCAGAGATCATTTACCTTTTTTACTTAGTATTCCTAAGAAATGTTCTTGTCAGAAATCATTTTTCACTTTTTGCCCAGTGGATTTTTTAAAAGTTTTTAGTGGGGCCCTGGAACCCACATGAAGAGATTACTGACTGACAGTGATAGGAGGCTGTCAGTTCTTTGTAGACTCTGCAGTGGGAAATTTTTGATTTCATTCTATGCTGAGTGGATTATGAGAGATGTTTTGCGTGGATAAAGTTCAGTATTAACTGAGGTAATATTATATTTGAGAACATCTAGAGCAGCGCTATTCAGCAGGTGGCCCAGCAAGTGGCCCACCGATCACTGCCAGTTTTGCTGTATTAATTATCTTTATATGATGGAGCACTGTCCTCTGACCCGTGACAATCTCTGTTTCCAAAACTTTTGCCCCTGGGTAAACTTCGTTGGATGGCCCTGGTCTAGTGAGAAAAGTAAGTGAGAAAAAAGTAAAGATTTGTTGGACATGTAGCGCTAGAACTATATTTTATAAAGCGGTCTAGGTAGGTGATATCAACATCACGCTGGCCGCCTTCACTTCCCAGGAAGCAAGATAAATACCACGTTAAAAACAAGAATGTTCAATCTTATTTATATATATATTTATACATCCTACTGTATAGCTCATAAACCTGCACAGTAAACAAATAATTGCAAAGTTACAGTGAGGCATGGGCGATGTGGATATACAACAGAATAGGCCATGGAAACAAATAAAATCAAAAACAGACGTTTGGAGGGATTGGGAATGATGAGAGTTGTGAAAAGAAGGGGTTGGGGGGAGACAATTAGAATGTTTCAGCCAGTCAAATAGCAAGAAGTCAACAGTGATACCAAGAAAAGGATAACAACGAGAGTTTTGAAGGAGTTTAAAATGAGCATGAAAAACAATTTAGTAGATCCACTGCAGCCAAGCTTCATTGTAAAGTTGTCACATTAAAAAAAAAATTAAGCCAGGTTTTATTGACTTCTTGTTGTCCATCTTTCAGCTACCAAATTGGCCCAGGCTGCTAATTTCAATGACACCAACAGTGCTTGCAAAGTCATGGTTGCAACTGATGCTATAGGAATGGGTTTAAATCTGTGAGTTTGGCTAACATTTGCTGTTATGTTAATTTCAGCAGTATTGTGCTGTTATGGAACTGACATGTTTTGAAGGGCTGTGCAAAGTAAGTCATCATCTTTGTCATCATAACACTTCTGCTAAGTGTAGTGGGAAGGAATTATTTGCGATCCAGTGCACAGAGCTGGGACAGGTTATTATCATGCTGTGAAGGCATAAAGTGTCTTTAATGTTGTCGATGCATAATTTTTGTGGGGCTATCCTCTTGCTTTTGTAGCTGATCTCCTGAGATGTGGTACCTGTGATGGTAGTTGATATTGTTGCATTCTAACGAGATGATCTAACCACTTGATCTGCTGTTTCGGGATAAATCTATTACAAGTTGTTGTTTCCACAATCTGCCTGATAGAATAATTATTCACTCAATCTCTGATGGTTAGTTTGGCTGTTTTGCTCTGGCATCTTATCTCATAAGTAGTGATTTTGCTTACATGGGCTTTACATAATGCCTGTATTTGGACAGAGTAAATAAGGGATCCTTTGCTAGTGGTGAATCGGGCATATGATGCTAGAGTTATGTTTGTGTGGACCACTAGCTCTTAACCTTCCTAATGCGGCGACCCTTTAATAGTTTCTCATGTTGTGGTGACCCCCCAGCCATACAATTATTTTGGTTGCTACTCCATAACTTCAATGAATACATGTTTAGCTATGGTCTTTGGCGACCCCTGTGAAAGGGTCATTTGATCCCAAAAAGGGTTGCGACCCATACGTTGAGAACCACTAGTGTAGACCAATTGGCAGTTGATGGGTGACCTTTAAACCACTTTGCCGTATCATTACAAAAGGTTAGACTAAAGCCATATGTCTAAGTATTTATGTAGCAATTAATGAACCAGTTGGAAGTAGAGTATTCTGGAGATTTGGGGTTTGTTAATTTTGAAAGTACCAGTTTTCAATCTAGTACCATTATCCTCAGGGGAGGAAGACATTTAGTGGAAATTTATGATTTCATAACATGCTGAATTGGGGAAATTTGTGATTTCATATGATCAGTGGGAAGTTTATGATTTTATAATATTTTCAGTGGGACATTTATGATTTCATAATATGCTCTGAGAAGTTTATGATTTCGTAATATTCTCACTAGGAAATTTATTATTTCCTAGTATTCCCAGTGGCAAATTTATGATTTCATACTCTGATCACTGGGAGGTTTATGATTTTCTAACATGCTGAGTGCAGTCCTTTCAGTATCATAGAGGATTCTAATTCAGAACTCTTGGCCTCTCTCCTCCGTGTTGGAGAGCTAAGTTTACAATTACTCAGTTGGATTTACAGTTTTAGTAAATGCTGTACTCTTTCAAATGCCAAGGAAACTTGCTGCAGTCATCTTTAGCAATCACCAACTCATTCTGTCTGGGATATTGATTCAAACAAAGCAAATATATTGATCTGCAGTCTTCCCAGTTGTTTCTTGATAATTGATCGACCAATTAGTTCCCTCCGGGCTGCTATCTACAGGTCTATTGTACCATCCTGATATTAACAGATCTCAATTTAGATAGCAGACCAACAAGACGGATCCCAGATACCCTGTTCAACCTTGAAAGAAGTTATAATTAGGGCACCTGTAACGACTACATCAGGCAGGTGTAACCTGCAGTCCTGTGTAGCTAAGAACACATGATGCTCTCTGTTTTTGCCAAATTTAATACAGTTTGGTGACTTTGGTTGAAAAACATCTGCTAGTTTGGTAATTATGTGTTTCATTTCCCGTCAGTCAGGTATATTTTTCATTAGCTTGGGCTTCCAGATGTACCCAGTTTTAAAAATGAGTTATATTGATGATTAATCCACTGAGTAGAGGTTAGTCTATAAACAGAGCTGGTGCCATTTTACCAGTGTGCTTGATGATGTGAAATAAATGGAGTTCTTTATCAGTCTAGCGATTGGTTTTCGCTTATAGGAGAATGAAGTAAAGTACCCTTTTACAGAGCTTCAAGTATATTGGGCATTTAATGCTAGTCTATCTTTTATAGACCAATCAACACTCGATGGGTGATGCGGTCAACATTACGCCAGGTGCCTAAACTTCCCAGGACTTGCTAAGATCTTTTCATGTGTTAGTGTCTTTTTCTGTTTGGATTGGCACCCACAACTTTCTTCTAATATGCTAACATATGGTTTATCACACTGGAAAAAAAATTATAATAAAGTACAAAAGTTAATTAAAAATATTTTTTTGTGTGCTTAATAGTTTATAAATTTACACTGAATCCTCTGCAGTGTATCTTATTTATGATGTTTAGAAATTTATTTTTTGTGTCTCCCCAGTGCTATTAAAAGGGTTGTGTTCTACTCTGTAACCAAACCTATGTTAAATGATAAGGGAGAAAAAGAAATGGATCTAATCTCAACATCGCAGGCCTTACAGATAGCAGGACGGGCTGGAAGATACAATACAGCGTATGAACAAGGTGAAGTCACTACATTTTACTCCAAAGACCTCAACATTTTGAAGGACATCCTTAATCAACCAATTGAGCCGATCACTGTAAGTTAGTTTTATTGTTGTATGTAGATTTTCTAAACTTTGTTATCAGAAACAATTTTATGGTCTTATGTAGATTTTCTGTACTTTGTTATCAGTAAATTGTATATCTTTCAAGCAGTTTTTGCTGCATGCAGTGTTTTAACAATGCTAGACAGTGATCATTTATTTGTAAACAAATGCAAGCGTTTACTCCCTGGAAGAAACAGTGTCTGCATCTTTCAGTACCTTCTTATTATAACTGACTCGCAGCACATGCTTCGGAAAGTAGAAACTAGTGTCTTCTGGTCAAAGTGGCTAGCATCACTTGATAAGGCCCAGAATAAGAAGTCTGTCATGGATTTTTTGCCTTGGAAGTTCAGGTGTGCATGGTAATGTGGAGGCTGGTAGATTAGCTGCTGCCACCCCTCTGGGTGGTGATCTACTTTACAATAAAGCAGACATGGTGAGGGCTCTTTGAGATCAAATAAATGGTGTGACAGACTGCGATAAACAGATAGAGTACCCATATCTGGAAAGAATAATTCAGCTGGGTGTGAACAGAGGGGTTGGACGATTTCCTACCCGCAGGGGGAAAACAGGCAAACTTTTAATCTTTTAATCAGGTTGCTTGATTAATTGACGTTCAACCCCACAAAGCGATAAACACCTGGTGATGCCGCCATTCAGATGCAGATCACCCGGGGACAGGTCCCCGAAACCTCGTTCAACCCATAGGTTGCATTATATTAGGGCCCCCCGGCAACAGCCAGGGCAGGGCTTTAAACAACAACAAAAATTGTGTCCAACATTTGGACACAATAAAGTCAGGTTACAGCTGGCACCATCAGTTTGTGAACTTCTAAGTGCATTGATGATGGTTCTTGATTTATTCATTCATTCAGTACCCTCTGAGGAGATAGGGTATCTGCAACTGCAAAGTTTGTTGTTTCATTCTATGTTCACCAATTAGTTAACCTACATAGTACTCAGTCTTCTTTGTTTTTTCTCAGAAAAGCTGTGTGTGTTTTTTAAAAATTGATTTTTCCCGATGTGAGTTCTAGAGTTCCATTCTGATTCTGGAGGAAAAAAAGAAGAGAATGGACCCAGTGCCCCCTAGACGTGTAAAGGTGTGCTCAGGTGCTTAGCACTGTAGCCAGCAATGTTAAGGTTGGCTAGCTTCTCTTCGGAGATGTTAAAAGTGAATTTTATATCTATATATACATATAGGGGGAAATCTGAGCACCTATGGACGTGTGCGGAGTGTTGGAAATATAACTAAAAGCCCAAAGAAAAATCCCTCACACTTGTACTGCATGGAATAGAAAGTGTCAATCTACTCACTTGCCAACAGAGTGGTCTTAAAATGTGTAAAGTAACAGTTGGGATATAATGGGTTAATGTAAAGGTAGAGTGGGAAAGATGAAATTCAACAAAATACAATGCATGGAGTATTTGAAAAAGATTATTTTCGTCCATTTTCAGAAAGCGGGCCTGCATCCTACAGCGGACCAGATTGAGCTGTTTGCTTACCATCTTCCAAAGGCATCTTTGTCTAATCTCATTGTAAGTGTTGCATCTTACCTTCAACACTGTAATTTGGTAAAGCTTGAATTTGCCTTTACTGTAGGACAATGGTTCTTAGCTGGAAATATCCCTACCTCTAATGGGTATGGAAAAAAAATGATGGGTTATACTTGATATTTGAAAAATGAAACTAAAAATTAACTTTAGATAATCTGGGAAGTGCTAGCGCGGTCGATAGGAGACTCGCTTTCAAATCCAGCTACGACTCGCCCCCGGCCGGTGTTCGAAACGGGGCGGTTCCCGGGGCTCACCCGGCCTCTAGGTAATTGGTACCAGAGTTAACACTCTAGGTCAAATGGAGGAACGTCTCTGTAGCTACGAAGTTGCTTGCAGATGGTAACACAGGCGGACAGTTTCTTATCAGCTGTCCATATATCACCTGACCAAAGAATGTAGATTGCCTCTTTCTGATGTAGGCAATCAGTTTTCTTCGTGAGCTAGTTTCTTTCAAGAAGTCTTACTCTTTTTATCTGTCCAGGGTATTCTCATCATTCGTCTATAAAACCACATCTCCGCAGCCTCCAAAGAAGTTTTTGCTAATTTACTTACTGACTATGATTCACACCCGTATATCAGTATAGACCTACCAAACCTAAATTGGGTGTTAGAAAATATTCATGCCTGAGAAGAAAAGGCATCCAGCGTGATACTAACCACATCACCTATTAAGTATCAAGTAATGATTAGTCTGTAAAAATATAGAACTAGCTGCATATGTCCAGGATGCTTGAACATGTGGAAATGGAAGCACTACTGGTTTAAAACACTACCCAAGGCCAAGTCCTACAGGTATATATGTTGGACATGTGGAAATGGAAGCACTACTGGTTTAAAACACTACCCAAGGCGAAGTCTTACAGGTATATATGTTGGACATGTGGAAATGGAAGCACTGCTGGTTTAAAACACTACCCAAGGCGAAGTCTTACAATTATGTATGTCGGACATTTTGAAATGGAAGCACTACTTGTTTAAAACACCACCCAAGACCAAATCCTACAGGTATATATGTTGAACTGATGACACATAGGAGAGCACACATCGGTGACTGGGTCGCCCACTGACTCGCTGGCAGACAACTTCGTCGCCAGTCGGGACATAATTTGGGTTTGTCTCTGATCGCATCAGCACTACAGAAGTCTTTTTTTTTTTTAGGGCTCTTGGTGACATGCAGTGCTAAGCCATTTTATATGGCTCACATAACGTCATCACAGTTATAAACTAATGGCTCGGGGATGCCGATTGAATGTGACGACCCCCCCCCCCCCCCCCCCCCCCCCCCACCCCCACCCCCAACATAGCATCTACCTACTTACTAAGGGGAGAAGAACTACATGAACAAAGTCTTTGTGTGAGTTCTGGGGCCCCTTTGAAAGGAGGGGGAATAACCCACTGCCCTTTAACAAGCATATTGTAAAAAGATGACTAATTAGCAGGTTGCTTGATGTGTTGTACCAAAAGATGCTGCTATTGGTAAACCACAACACAGCGTGCCAACTGTTCTTTTAAGGTGATCACAAAAGAAGAAGATGGTGGAGTTCATGAATGGAACAAAAAGCGACTAGAATAGAAAGGGTTATAGGAATAGAACATGTAGTCGGAGGAGATAGCTTATGGGATAATCGCAAGTGCAGTGATGTGGATTTTGAGAAAAAAAAATTCAAGCTGTTGGCTTCTTTAGAAATTAACATTGTTCCTAATAGGACAAGTGATAGTATTTTCAAGTCTGGTGAAAGGAATATTAAGTTAAGAATACTGGATCCATGTTTGAATCCCCCTTAAAGTGGTGGATTTTTCTCTCAGGATCAATCAAAAATAAAATTCTCAGCTGCATAGTCCATGGCAACTACACTAGCCTTGAGACCTAAACAAAAAACAGCAACTCCCAGATTGTTGACACCATGTCATATACCCCCCCCCCCCCCCCCCAAAAAAAAAGTGGTACATATAGCCAAAAAAGACCTCTTTAGGCACCAAGTGAGTATGGATACATATTGGGGCAACCCAGTGGTGGTAGGGATCCTATAATCATAGAAAGGTAACAAACTCTGCTAGAGAAGGCTTCCTCACTAGTGCAGTATGCAACATTGCAGCCAGGCACTACCAAGCAATTAAACAGTTCAATAATACGTCACTAGTTCAGAATGCAGCATTGGAGGCAATGGTTACCATCACCATACGGACCCTTTTCCACACCTTCAGGCATATTGGACATAATAGTGCTAGACATATATTTCATAGACCAATCAGCACTTGGTGGGTGATGTGGTCAGCATCACGCCCACAGCCTGTATTTCCCAGGTTTACCTGGAACCCATTTAAAGCTGGGCCAGTCAGTGAGCCAAAGTCATTTAAAAAAAAAAAGTCAGGTTCCGTTTGGATTTGAATCCACAGGCGAGTGTCTAGCTGCTCGACTACAGCGGCTCCCCGCCAACACTCTAAACAGTTCATTAAAGCTCCACCGGTTCAAATATAGCATTGAAAATCAATTGTTTTTAGCAGATTCAGCATTAGACTGAAACATTCTGGAAGTCTTTTTCTCCTTGTCTGTCTGACTCTCTTCACGTCTCCTATGTTCGTCACCCTTCATCACCCATGCTCACATGTTAAAAGTTAGTTGCGTATCCTTTACAGGACGTTGCAGAACCAACCCCAACAGCCCCTGGCTGTTGTGTGGTTTGTCTAGGCAGGTTACATCAAGTAGTTTGCCATTGCTTTCTGGACGGTCGGCTTTCTTGATACCACTGTCGAAACCAAGCAAGGCGCATTGCCCGCAGCTGGGATCGAACCTGGCATCCCGGCATTACGAAGCGAAGTGTTCGCATCGACTTAGCCACAGAGCCGATATATATATATATATATATATATATATATATTGCTTTTATATTGTTCTTTTCCAGGATATCTTTGAACTAAGCTGTGAGCTAGACAGTGACATGTTCTTCATGTGCTTGAATGAGGACTTCAAGTTCCTAGCGAACATGATTGAGCATGTTCCACTGCCCCTCCGAGTCCGATATGTTTTTTGCTGTGCTCCCATTTCTGTAAAGTCACCTTTCTCATGCGCAATGTTTTTGAAGGTAAGATATGTGTGCATATTTTTAAAAATATAACTCAACATTTTCTTCCAATTTCTTTGTCACATAACCTTAGATCCCCACGCGGGTTCCAGGGTCTATTCATGGGGAAGGAGGGAGGGGGGGGCAGTCCTATTGGTCCCGCCTCTTTCTCGAACGCTAAAAAATGGGCCATAAACCTCTTATAATTACAGAAAAATCATTTTAAAAACAGAACTAAAAAAACCCATCTCAAACATTAAAATTAAAAACAAATTATCAACAGTTGAAGAAAAAAGAGATTATTTCCGCAGATATATCTTATATTTCTTCTTCTTCTTCGCGTTCCCTGGCTGTAAACTCCGGCGGTAAGTTCTGGTTGTTTGTCCACTTAACTCTAGTCCTGTTCCAGAAACTGAGGGTTGCATGTACATCCGTTTCACAGATAAAGTTCTGACAGATTTGCATGCAGATTGTTATTGTCCTTTGCCTCTCAGACAGGTGTACTGCACTTAAGCTCCCAATTAGTCGACTCTTACAACATGCTTTTAGGCAGGCAGTGGATCTATTCTTGTTTTCTGCACAATGGGGCCCCGGAACGACTAATTAAGGAATTACTAAAATTGGATGTTTTGGGACAAAAGGCTCACATATTGCAGCCTAGCTGTAAACCACAATAGAATGTGCCGACCGCCTTTTTAAGGCTGAGTGAAGAAAAAAAAAGAAGATAATCATAGAAGTTGATACAAAAAAAAAAGGTTGTGGATGAGCTTAGATCGGCTTGAAATGCTATTGGATCTCCACATTATTTGCTGTCTGGCAAGGATCGATGTTGTCTGAGCAATACTTTTCTTGATTTCTAGTCTGGACCCTAGGTTGCTTAAAATAGATCCTAAATATTTCAAATGATTGACTTGTTCTAATTTGTGACCTTTAACTTATATTGGTTATACCTTGTAGACGTTGGCAATATTATGATTACATATTAACAGCATGTACATTTGACCTATATTTGTATTAGTAATGATTTATGTTTTTCAGTTTGCGAGGCGATTCAGCCGGAGTGAGCCTATTACTTTTGATTGGCTGTGCCACCAGATTGGGTGGCCCTTAAAACCACCTGGCAATCTTGTCGAGCTTGTGCACTTAGAATGTGTGTTTGATGTTTTGGATCTCTATTTGTGGTTAAGGTAAGGGTGATCCTGCATCTATATTTTATGCAGTTTGTGTGAGTGCAGAAGAATAAGAACCATCAGTGTTTGTATAAATTTTATCCTTATCTGTTAATGTTTCATTAATCTTTGCACTCACTGGCTGTTAACTCCAGCAAAAAGTTCTGGATGTTCATCCATCTAAGGACTTTATTCTTGCATCCATTTCACAGATCTGGCTTTTTTGTATGCAGACTCCTGCCTCTCAGGCAGTTGTACTCGTACTCTGACTTTGAAGGATGACGACAATCAGTTGGCCCCTCCGACATGCTTGTTGGGGAGGCAGTGTGTCATTTCTACTTTTAACCCAGAATGGGGTCACAGAACTCACACAGAGAAGCTGTGTCCAGTTACATACCTTTCTCCGTTTTTTTCTTGTCTGTTATTTATTGGCCCTAGTAATATTTCTTTCTCTTCTCTGATTATTTTTCTTCTTCACCGTGTTTAGTATGCCTATTTATATCTCTTTCTCCAGTATCTCCTTGAAATAATTGCTTATTTATTCTGAATGAATTCTTATTACATTTCCAAGTTATAAATTAATTAATTGATGAGTTTTAAAAACTCAGTAGTTGGATCTCAGTGGAATTACAATGATACAGCCATTCGTTTTCTTATCTCTTATTTGTCGAGACACTGGTCTGCATAATAAGCAGTCACTCATTCATAAGGTGTTTATACTACTTCTTTTAGACAATATGCAGAATACAGCACTATTTCCATAGATAACTCCATTTGCAGATAAAAAGACAGTCAGGTTAAAGCAACCATATTAATTCATAAAACGAAGCACAGGAGTATGCACACTGTGTATTGAGCTATAAATACCTTTTTGTGTTTTGCTTTACACTGTGTTGTTTTTGAGAACCATGTTAGCAAAGTGGCTAGCCATGTGCTTTAGGAAAAAATGTCTGGTTTGAAACTGTACCAAGGTGGATTTAAAAGAAGACCTTAGCTTCCAGGTTGTTCAAGCCTAAAATTAATACCAAGCAATGTCTCGGGAAGTAGAGTTGGTTGGTGTGACATTGACCACTTTACCCATTGTTTGCTTCTTCTGCAAGTTATTTCCCAGTGGAGCATAGGCTGTCCTTCAACTCATGCCAAGTCATCCTGTTCTGTGCTATCACATGCAGTGCACCCTATATCCTCCCCATCTTTTTTAACTTCACTTTCTAGTTCCCTGCACCAGATCTTTTTTATCAGGCCTTATCTATGCCCTCGTGGGGTTAACATAAAGACATTCTAGTTATACTGTTCCCAGGTTTTTCTCATTGTCTGTCCTGCCCAACACCAGCCTCTTTTTTTTTTTTTTTAACCTTATCGAGTACTGTTGTTTATAAAAAAAATATGGGTCTAACAACATATACCCATATAACCACAGATATGCTCTTAGCACCTATAGTGTGAAACACATCCTTTACTTTATGTTGATTGACTTGAAAGTACTTTATTTTTAATTCACCCTAAGCAGAGGTGTCTCTGAGACGGTCGGGGCTGACAAAGACCCTAACCATAACCTCAGTCCCTAGAAAATTTGACTTTTCCGGAGTTTCGTTTGTTAGAGTGAATTAAAGATAAAGTCCTGACTTGAAAAATATTGGTTTATAACAGAAAAACATGGCAGCTCTCTACTTTACATTTTTGACAGTTATCGATTCCAAGACCTCTTTCCTGACTCGGTGATGGTGAGAGAACTGCAGACAGAGTTGGATAAGATCATCCTGACTGGTGTGAGGAACATTGTCCAGCTGGTGAAGAACCAAGAACAGGATAACCTGGTGTTGCAGGATGATGAAGATGACTTGATGATGAAGGCGCCCATTCGGAGGAGTGGAGGGCTGATGGAGCGCAGACCGCTTGATGCTCAAATCAACAGTGCCAGAAGTTCTGACAAGATGAAGCAAGCAATAGCTATGGTTAGTTTTTCATCTAAGCTTTATTAAACATTTTTTGTGTGTCCAGAGACTTCACTGATAATACAGCACTACCATCTGTTGTTGTTGTTATCGATCCAGCTGCGCATAATCTTTCGCCCTCTGGCCCAACCATCATTTGTTAGAAATCCCTGCAAAACTTAAACCAGCATTGGTCAGCCATACTAGCCTTGTTGACAGCATTGGTTCTGTTTGCCTTTGCAGTGTTAGGACCGGATATGATTACATTTACTGAAAATATATTTTGTCTGTTGTTGTGAAGGAAAATAATGGATTTTGTTGTTGTTTTCATTATGACATTCAGCGTTAGCACTTAGAGATTGCATAATGATAGGGGTCATGATATACGTCACCATATGCTCCCGTACAAGATGTAAAACATGTCCGTTTATGATCCCGAAGGGTTTATTTCACATTAGAGAAGCATTTACATGTGAATCAAATAACATATAGGAATAAACTCCACAGGGGAGCATGTACAGCAGGGATCTACCAATCATCAGTAGAAGTAATCTCTCGCCGACAAATGTTTCGGCCCACGATCTCCTAGACGTTTTCAGAGAGTGGGCCCACCTGAGTTAATGAAGCTCAGGGTTGGTTTTCCCTGCTGCACGAATTACCGGATGGTGTTCGGATAGGGACAAGATGACTTGGTGGTTTTGCAGAGCGTACTGTGAGATAAGTCGTCGTGGTAGCATAATTAGAGCAGTCTGCATACCTGGACGACCGAGTGACAAGCTTACGATTGGTATACAGGACACATGTTGGACTTTTATTAGCAGGTGGCAGAGGAACACTGGCAGACAATTCGGACACGATGGACTTTCAAGGGATGAGAAACCCTTTTCCACTAGGCGCCCGGACCAGCTCACCGAGGCCCGTCCCTTACGTTGTTCCATTGCATCCAAAGCCAGCTTGAGGCCCTCTCAGCAACCTCGCCCAGCCTTTTAAGTGTCCGTTTCCGTTCATTACCGCGCAATCCTAGAGCGGACAAGTTGACAGCGGCCAGAGGAACTACCATGTCTCGGCGTTCTTTGGCTGAGGCTTTTGACTACCAATTGACCCTCCCGTGACCCACGGTCGGCATTCTGATTGACTTCTCCCGTTATGACAGCGATATCTCTCAATTTAAGACGAGTGACTCTTCGGTTTATTGATTTGACGGGGAGTACCAGTGTCAATACAGAGCCGACAGGCGGAATCAACATGAATTGGAGACACCATACCTTGATAATAGTCGTGTCATCCATAAAGGCACGTAGTCGAGGCATCCAGTGTTCCCTTATTTGAAGGCCCTGTCCGTAGCAGGCCGCCCCGTCCAACATGATCTGCATGGCCATGGCAAACAGTATTGGTGAGATCGTGCACCCCATAGCTATCCTAATTTTAAGCTCAGTCCACCTCATGGTAAACGTCGAGGTAGAGAAGCGCAAAGCGAACTTTGAGAAATATTGCTCGATCATATCATTGATCTGTGCCGGTACGTGAAACATGCGAAGGGCTCGCCACAGTAGCCTATGGGGAACTGCCCCATAGTCGTTGGCTAAGTCCAACCATATAACGTGCAATTGAGTTCTCTCATGCTTGGCTCTCTGAATAGCCTCCCAAATCATGGTCGCGTGTTCAAGGCACCCAGGAACGCCCGGAATACCACCCTTCAGAACACTTGTATCGATGTACTTGTTAGCCATCAGATACTGTGTGAGCCGGCGAGCCATGACTGAGAAGAATATCTTTCCCTCGACATTCAACAAGCGAGATGGGCCTGAATTGGGAAAGACTCTTCGAGTCCTGCTCTTTGGGAATGTAGACCCCATTCGCTTTTTGCCACTCTGGACATATGTGTTTTCGGCTCCACGCTTGTCTCAACAAGACGTGAAGCATTCGCGGGATTTTCGGACAACGCTTGTAAAAAACGTACGGAACACCATTCGGACCTGGAGCAGACTTGCCGCTGGCCCTTTTTACAACTTCCTCAACCTCAGACCAAAGGGGAGGTATCATTTTAAATGGTACCTTCGGCAACTCAGGCTGCTTGAGGCCGCTAAGGATCTCTGGATTGTCATCGAGAGGCTCTCTCCTTTTTGTCAGAGTACATTTCGCGTAAATGTAACTTAAGCTCTTCCTTACTGACAACCAGAGTCCCAGACTTCGGTTGCTCGAATAGACCTCGGGCAAACTGATACGGGTCACCGAGAGTATCAGTTTGATTCGCCCTTCATTCTCCCCCTCTTTCGAAGGGCCCTGGGGGCATATTTCTATATTGGTTTGCGAAATCGGAGGTATTATACTGTGTTAGGGGTGATCAACCCAGTCCACAGTCGACATCTGTCTCCAGATGTCAGTTTATCCCCCCGGCTATACCGGGGGCCAGTCTTTCCATAGGTGTCACAAGGTCTTTCCCATAATTCTTTAACATAATTTATACTATCTTCTGCAAAAGATGTAAAAAAAAAGGCATATTTTGATAAAACTGGTAGGAAGCTATCAGATCCCTTCCGTGAACATCTGGCTGACATTGATACTAAACCTGTCTGCTTCCATTTTAACAATTCTGACCACCAAGGCGAAAATGATATCTCACAATATCTCAGTCACTGTTATTAAATCCTGCCCTATTGATCAAACAAGCCGCTACTCATTAGAAAATCATTTCATCTAAAGTTTTGGCAGGATGTGACATTTCCTTGGGTGAGCCCAAGAATAGAGAGCGTCATATGTCAGCTCTGCAATTATGGAAGCCTACCTGGCTTGCAGGGAATTCCCATGATCTGTTGCTGCTTTCCCTGGAGGACCCACCATTCTTACTCGCGGTTGCTTGGATGGGTTCTCCAGGGACAACACCTTTAGATAAAGGGACAAAGAGCAGACCACACAAATAAGGCTACATCATGCCCATGAAACCAACCGGAAAGGCTAACCCAGTGAACAAATGCGAGATGAAGCCAGAAGTGTTGGCAAACATATGCAAATATCACAGCTATGCTGTAAACATGCACAATGCAATTGTGTCACTCGAACAAACATTGAAGAAGAAGTAGTATGGGTGCCCTGAAGAAGACAGTGAGAAAGCTGTCTTCAGCAGCTAGGTTATGTTGCTACTAGGAATGTTGTGCTTTATATTTCATAATTTTTATTTTCTCTTCACAGCGTGCACACAGTAAACTTGCCCAGAAACTAGTCACCAGCGGAGTGGTATCCCAGGAAACAATGGAGACATTAAAGCAAGAGTGGATGCTCGAGAGTGAGAAAAAGAAACGACAGTCTGGCAGAAGATATGCAGAAAGCAGTGATAATAAAGACTCAGAGAAGATTGATAATTATGAGGAATGATGTACACCTTCTACTTTAAAATACAATAATTCTGGGTCTGTGTGCGTTTCATGTTTGAATGGCAGTGTTTTCTAAGCCTCGTTATAGTGTTTCACTTCAGATAGTGGCTGGATTTTAATTGTTGGCGCTCTGAACACGTCATGTCTACAGTTTGAATATACATTGGTCTAAAATGTAATTTGCAGTGACAGTTAAATGATGAAGAAGTTTACTTTAAGAAAGTGTTGTTGAAATGGTCCCAGGGCATAAATAAATGTATACTTTTTTGCATAATAACATAAATGTTTTGATGTGGGTATGTATTCTTGAGTGAGGGTAGCAATGTATGGATAGTGAACTTCCTTTCCCAGACAGACATCTAGGTTCTTCTTCTCCTCCTCCTTCTTGTTCTTTTTTCTGTCTTCTGTTAGGTAAGTTGCGTATCCTTTATAGGATGTTGCATAACCAACCCTAACAGTCCCGGCTGTTGTGTGGTTTTTCTAGGCAAATTTACGTCCAGTAGTTTGCCATTGCTTTCTGGACGGTTGGCTTTCTTGATACCACTGTCGAAATCAATGCAAGGCGCATGGCCCGCAGCTGGGATCGAACCCAGCATCCCGGCATTACGAAGCGTTCGCATAGACTTAGCAACAGATATTTAACCTTAAAAAGGTGTTTGGCACGGCACATTTTGTTGCAATTTACAGGTAGACTGCAGCAATATCTGCATCAGTCATACCAACACAGTTTTTTTTAACTGGCCCCTTGTTGCTTTTTAATGACATTTGTTGAGAGAAAAGTGGATCACTCTTTTCCTCCCCAGTAGTGGAGCACTTGAACCCACATTAGGCGGGGGTCTGGGTTCAGTTTCGGCATTGGCCTTTCAGACTTGTAAGAGTCTAGAGTCTAGTCAGCCTTATAAAATAAGGATGTACATGCAAGATTTAAGTTCTGGAACAAGACCAAAGTTCAGATGAGTTTTCAGTTGGTGAACAATAACGAAAAGAAGAAGGCATTGTTACTGCAGTTTTTCAGTCTGATGTGTGCGCACATTGGAATGCAAATCTTGAAGTCTTCAGTATGATAATAGGGCAGAGAAGGGTACTACCCATTTATCTACAGTAAAGAGATACCAGGTTTGGCCGGCTAGCATTCCAGTTGAAAGAAAACTGTATGGATCAGTGAAGGACATATGCCTTTATAGAAGCCTTTGCTTTCATATCTGAAAACCACTTTCAGGGAGAATGAAACGAAAATAATGTAGCTCAGAACATTTAAAAGCTTAACACTTTTAATTACAATTACAGTTTTTGGCGTGAGACTAGCTGGACCCCCAACACACACATGCATGCGCCCATTCATTTTGTTCAGAATTATGTTGTATAACAGCCAGTAACAAAACAAAAAAAATGACCTCAGCTACCAGGTCAGTCCAGCCTTAAATGGGTACCAGGTAAGGTCCTAGGAAGTAAAGGCGGCTGGCATGATGTTGACCACTTGCCCACCGAGTGCCTATTGGTCTCTATTATATATATATATATATATATATATATATATATATATATATATGCATGAAGGTGTGGAAACGTTTTTTTTTTTACTTATGTTTTACAACTGTCTAATTATAGTTGAAAACAGGAAATATCAGAGGACAAATGAAACAACAGAAAAATAAAAGGTACAGGAATCTGAGCAGTTTAGCAAACCAACCTTAGCAGTTTGTGGTTTTACTACAAAGTTTTACATTCAGTGAATTGCCATTGCTTACACAGTGCAACAGTGTATCATTGTTACTGTCCATGTTGATTCCGAGGACCCATTTGAGGAAGGGGGGGGGGGGGGGGGAGATAAACTCCACAACACCCTGTGTGTTGCAAAATATAACAAATTAGGGATGTTTCTTTTGAATTTATAGTGCATCTGTGTGAGACGCAGGAACCAACAGTTTGCATACAAATCCCCCCCCCCCCCCCTTCCCCCACAGTTAATCGACTCCTACAACATGCTTCTTTTTTTGTTTTCCCCCACAATGGGACCCCGGAACCCACACAGGGAGCAACCTAATTATTACTTATGTGTTTGGTGAGGGAAAGAGGGGGGGGGGGGGGAGAGACGGGTTGGTTAACTTTTGTTTGGGGTGATGATTATATAACTAGTGTAACTGACTTTATTCTGTGCTGATCACATCTGTGCCTTCATCATCATTTTGTCATGCCATTATACATCACATAGGACTTGCAGTCGAACCCTACATTCCATTCTTTCTGCTGCAGTCCTCTCAATATCATGGATAGAATCCACCCAGCACCTTTCTTTGGCCCCCTCAACATTTATCTTAGGGTTTCTCTTAGGTTTCCTTGTTTCCTGAATCTGTTTATTTCCAATTGGAGTGCTTGTTTAGAAACTCCGTCCTCTTAGTCTTGTGATGCTTCTGTGCCATATCACATGGTTGCTGTCTAGTCAGTTGAGGTCTGTGTGGTGGTCTTTCTGGGTCTGCCTCTTCTCCTCTTCCCCTCTACTGACCCCGTGGTATTGCAGGCATCATAATAAGCATTACAGTTTTTTTAAATGTTTTTTTTTTTTAACTTGAAAAAGTTTAAATTTTTGTTTTTTCTTTTGTTTGGAAAAAGAAAGGTGGGGGGGGGGGGGGGGGGGGGGTCATATATAGTCATAGCCACTATGTCTACACTGTATGAAGTTGTAACCATGTTCAGGGCTGTTATATAGGCTGTGGTGGCTGCTGCTGAAAGACTTCATGTCAGGAAAAAGTGCTTTCTCAGGGTGACAGGGTTAGGTCTATGACTTCTTATATATATGGCAGTTGAGAATGTTTTGAGATATTTGAGAAACTGCAGATAAGATCAGTGTCTGCTGGGTGCAAGAACATCTGACACTTTTATTGAAATGTATATAGTTCAAGATATGGCAATGAATTGTGTGTGAGGTCAGTTATGATGTCATAAAGTAATAAAGAAAAGTAATAAATTTTAATGGTTTATAGTTATCTGATTTCTAACCATATTGTTTTTGACAGTTGTTACATGACATGTTGAAAATGATTTGCCATTTTAGAGCAGTCAGTTTTCAAGCCACAGTTTAGAAGGATGTACTTTCAAAATGTGTGGCTTAAATGTTTATGAAATCTTTTAACAGGTTATGAGTTGAAAACCCTTATCATAGCACATTTGAAATTCCCCTAAACACTATGTAATCTTTTAACAGGTTATAAGTTAAAAACCCTTATCATAGCACATGGGAATTTCCCCTAAACACTATGTCCCTATCTTCAGCAGCAAGTGCAGAGTTCTAATTCTGATGGTACCAGTAATAGTCTTTTTGTATATCCGTCTCGCCCCTTCCCAGAGTGTCGAGTGTCAACCATATCTCCAGTTCTAATTCTGATGGTACCAGTAACAGTCTGTTTGTATATCTGTCTCGTCCCTTCCCAGAGTGTTGAGTGTCAACCATATCTCCAGTTCTAATTCTCATGGTACCAGTAACAGTCTGTTTGTATGTCCGTCTCGCCCCTTCCCAGAGTGTCGAGTGTCAACCATATCTCCAGTTCTAATTCTGATGGTACCAGTAACAGTCTGTTTGTATATATGTCTCGCCCCTTCCCAGAGTGTTGAGTGTCAACCATATCTCCAGTTCTAATTCTGATGGTACCAGTAACAGTCTGTTTGTATATCTGTCTCGTCCCTTCCCAGAGTGTTGAGTGTCAACCATATCTCCAGTTCTAATTCTGATGGTACCAGTAACAGTCTGTTTGTATATCTGTCTCGTCCCTTCCCAGAGTGTTGAGTGTCAACCATATCTCCAGTTCTAATTCTGATGGTACCAGTAACAGTCTGTTTGTATATCTGTCTCGCCCCTTCCCAGAGTGTTGAGTGTCAACCATATCTCCAGTTCTAATTCTGATGGTACCAGTAACAGTCTGTATATCCGTCTCGCCCCTTCCCAGAGTGTTGAGTGTCAACCATATCTCCAGTTCTAATTCTCATGGTACCAGTAACAGTCTGTTTGTATATCCGTCTTGCCCCTTCCCAGAGTGTTGAGTGTCACAGCCAGATCTCCAGGTCTCCCTGCCTTCAGGATTACATCAAAATAATGGGCCTTTTCCCAAGCCTTCAGGCACATAGGCTGTATAGTGCTCGACCTAAGTGACCAGTCCACACTCTGTGGGGGATGTGGTCAGCATCAAGCTGGCCATGTTTTCTTTCCAGAACTTCAACTAATACACATTTAAAACTTTTGTCGACCTGTCAGCTAAGGTCATTACCCAAAAAAACGATACAGATTTGAACCCTAGACCTTCAGATTGGAAGGCTAGGAGCTAGTTGCTACGCTGCTGCATCTCCCTTAATAATTCTGAGCATAACAAATTCGATTTAGCTGGAGGTTATATGACAACAGAATGCCTTGCATTGATTTCAACAATACTATGATCGTCGACCGTGCAGTAGCAATGGCAAACTACTGAATGTAAAAATACCTAGAAAAACCACAAATAGCCAACTAATAATGGGGTTGGTCTGCAAAGCCCTATAAATGATACAGTGCAGGGAGAACTCACTGGGGACCAAAGAAATCTTCTTTGCATTTAGGCAGAAAGTTCTGGTTGTTCATCCACTTCTGGACTGCAGTCGTGTTCCAGAACCTGAATGTTGCGTGTGCATCCTTTTACAGATCTGACTCATTTGTATGCAGACTGCTGGTTCCTTGCCTCTCAGGCAGATGCAATCCGACCTAGAAGAAAGCTGCCAATTAGTTGACTCTTACGACATGCTGTTGGGTAAGGCAGTGGGTCTGTTCTAGTTTTCCCTACAAAAGGGTCCAGAACCCCCACGGGGAAACCAAGAAAAAAAATTCTTCTTTTAAGAAAATCTTATCCAGATAAGAACTGAGCCAAGCATAATTGCCGGAGATAAACAATTTGTTTTTAACAACATAAATTCGCCACATCCTAGAACGCTAAGCGGTCTGCATTGTACTGAAGAAAACAAATATACTACCATTTACTA